GAAAGTCCACTCCATCCAAGATAGTCAAGAAGGGTACCGGAGCCATGAAAAGTACCGCAGAGCCTATGCACACTGAAGATCCGATAAATACCGAGGAACCAAGGTCTATCAAAGAGCCAATTCCCACTACAGACCTCATGCAGAATCAAGACTCAGATCAAGCACAAGAACCCATCATCAATGATGAACTAGTCCATGAAGATACAACAGAACAAAATCAATCAAACTTTGAAGATCTCTTTCGCAAGCAAAAGTTGAAACTCCATACCCCAAGTTAGCCATAAGCGAGCCAAATCCACTACAGTCTCTCAAAAGACTCCAAGTACAGTTTGATTCCATGTTGAATCACCCATCAGAACCCCATTCGTCCACTCCGCAACAACAAGTGTAACATATTCAAATGCAAATGAAGACAATGCCCAATCAAGATTCCAAGTGAATCCTGATGTCATTAGAAATCCTAAGCTCTTTAGGATTAGGCAATTGCATGTTTTTACTCTCGAGGAGTTGAACTCCTTATTTCTTTCAATTACACATACACCACAAACACGTACTACAATGCATGGTCCTTTTTCATAGACCCTAGCTAAAACAAAATCGAGGCCAAACTTGGTTCAATACCAAGGAGACCAAGGAAGTTCTTGAAAGCCTATACCACAAATATTACACATATGTGAATTAGGCACGAGGAGCACCATTGAGCTAGGATCAATGAACCTTGGGGACACCCCGGTGGTAACTGGTTTCGATGGTTATGTTTCAGATGACAGTTGGTCAAGATACCGACCAACAACAGAAAAAGGATTGCAGAAGTTTGAATTTTCAAAAAATCTCTACAATCAAGAAAATCCAAACAAACTCAACTCCAACGGAATAAGGAAGAAGAAATCCATCAATTTGTTGTTTAGTAGGAAAACTACATCAACAACGCCAAACCTCTACATGATTTGCAAACGGCCATCAAATGGGTCGAAATGATGGAAGAAATTATGCAAAGAGCTCATGAAGGGACGGGAAACCAAGCTAGAGGAAGGAGAGTTGTGATTAAACCAACCGGGGTTGGAGATTCAAACAATGATGGCATTGAGGTTTAACTGAGCGATAAACCTGCTTTTGGATTTGACTTTGATGAAGATGATGAGGAAGTATGAAAATAAGGCAATAATGAAGATTTTCAAATGTTCACGAAGATGAATCAAGTGGATCTCAACACTCCACTTCAAAGCCCAAACCGAAGAAGAAAACGAAGGTAACCATTTCAAGGAAGGAGTTCCTTGATCTAAAAGGGAAAATTGATCAAATTTTGACTACAGTCTCTACTACACATCCACCGCAGACTCCCACTACTTCCATACTGTAGACTTTAGAACAAAGGATTTTGGTGAATGAAGCCAGAGAAAAATTCTTTATTGAGCGTGTCCTGCGCATTGAAATGGGAATCGGAAAGTTAGATGCTTAAAGACAACAAGACCACCAGCAGTTCATTAAGAAAGAAGAGGAGTTTCCGGCAGAGATCAACGAGTTGAAAGAAAAACTCATGAAGGTGACCGAAGAGCAAGAATCGAGACGAAATACTTGATTGACAAGACCCACAAAGCTTATGAAGTTAGGTATGCTGAACTTCAAATAACAATCCAAGGTTTAAGAATATCATTCACGGCAAGGGAAACCATTGATGACATCCTTGTAGTCACTAAGGATATCTTCGACTGCATAAAAAAATCCAAGTCTAATGACGACAAATGATGTTAGCGTCCAGATGCTGATAAACTTCTCCAAAACCTCCAAGAAGCTTGAAGAGTTAAAATCCATGTTTGAGGAGAAGTCTAGGCCTTCTTTCTCAAAAGGGGGAAAGGCTCCAGTTGAAGTAAGCTCTTCAAAGAAAAGCTCAAAGTAACTCTCTCCTCAAAGAAATCCAACTCCTCCCCCAAAGAAAACCCCAACTCCTCAAATCAAAAGACTCCCACTTCACCGCAATCTCCAAAAAGAACTTCTCCTAAAAAAGAAACAACTCTGGATCCCTCTATGTATTCAGATAAATCAAATGACTCTCCCGCCACAAGTCAAAGAAAAGTTGATTGGAGAGCTGCTAAGTTAGTCAAAGAGGTCTGGAAGGCATAGGTATTTAACATCCAAATGGATGAATTAATGATTCAGTCCTGGGTAAATCCCTTCCAGAAGTTAGTAGACAAAGATTATGTCCCTCATTTAACTTACATTGCACTGCAAACTGACATGTTTTGGGATATTCCTCAATCTCCAGATGCATGCTTCTATCAAGTCTTCGATGAATTCGATCAAAGAATTCCAGAGTCATGAAGATTGCCAATGAAATTGAGAGGTTAAATCAATTCCATAACAAACATCAAAAGAAGATCAAAGACATATGGTCAAATGATGCTCCTGAAGTCTTCAAGAATTATAAACCCCGGTCATTTAAGAATGCAACCTTCTACTAGTACACTCTCATGTGTTTTGGCAAAGAATACTACCGAACACATGCAGATTTTGTAGCGATGAACCTTGAAGAACTCTTCACAATTACCCGAGTGTTTAGTTTCAAAATTGAAAAGCATCATAAGATGAATCCAGCATACGAGAGAGCATGCAACTTTCTTAGGTCTCTTTTATGTAACTTTGCTACAATTGATGTTGAGATTCATCAAGTCCTTGCAAATCAAGTTGATCTCCATCCATTCAAGTATCCAACAATGATCACCGAAGGCATTAAGGAATGAATTGCGGTGCCACCAACTGCCCTGATCTCGGTATCATCTTCAAAACTGCAAGGATACCGAAAAGAATTTCCTCCCCGCAAAAGCATTTCACTGATACAACAAGAAACAGCTAGACGACATCTTCAAGCTAACTGAAAAGTCAAAAGTCACAACTGACGAAGTGAAGTTTGAAATCTCAAGAAGAATCAAATGGGTGTTCGGTGTAAGGAAATTATGGTGGCTCCTTATTAAGTTTTTCAAACTTGACAAGTGAAGAAGATTAGTTGCGAGGTTACTTAGGGGAAATTGTTAATACATGAAAGTGACCATTGGCAACTAATGTGATTATTATGATGCGAAGATTTGGTTAAATGGTGAAGCGAAGAGATGTTTTGTGTTAACATGCCGAAGAGTTGTCTATTCTTTTGTATCGGAGAAGTTATGAAGACCGGAGACATCAAAGGAGACTAGGCGAAGAGTTAATTGGACTTTTTCTTTTGTGATACCGTAGTGCCAGAGTAATGATCAACTTTTACTGGCAAAGTGTGTTAGGTTGGTTTTGCGAGTTCTAGGTGTGGGAAGCATGGTCCTCAACATCAATATTATTTTTATTATTATCCCGTTGTAGACATGTATTTTCTCCTATAAATAGACGATCTTGTTGATCGATATGAGTGTGTCTAATTCCATCTTCCTTGTAATCTCATCATATGGAAATACAAGTTTTCTTATCTTCATTATCTTCATACTTAGTTGTTCATAACTTAATAACTTGTGTTTGACTGCAAACCATGTTATGATTCAACAAATATCTTTTAAACTTGCTTATATTTATTGATCTATTTTGCTGCTATGTTTCCCTTATGATTCCGCTAACTTATTATTGTTGAGCTTTATTAAGACCCATGAAACTAACTAAAATTCCGCATCATAATCTCTTTATCATAAGTTCTCTCAATAGTCTCATTAAGAATTGCTTATGGGGTTTCACCTCATTTAATATACCCAAAAAAAAACAATTATATCTTTATTGATTGATATCTTAGAAGTTACATTTTGAAATTAAGTATTTTTAAGCTGACAACATACATTTTTATAATTTCAAAATTCAATGTATTTTGAGAATTTGTTTGATGTCTCGCAAGTCACAATTCAAAATTAGGTAGTTTTTAACTAACAACCGTTTAATTTTTAAAATATTTAAAATTCATGTAGTTCAAAATTTTGAGCTTTTAGAGAAAAAATGTTTTATTAGAGAAAAAATGTTTTAAGACTTATAGTCTTAACTGTATCATGAATTCGAAATGTATTCGTTATCGAAGGGATTGAGGATTCAAAATTCACTAAAAATAATTGTGTAGCTTAGGTGTAGTTTAGAATTTTTTTTAAATATTTTACAACCGATAAGTTTGGAAAACAATTATTTTAACTTTTTATCTACAACATAAAAATTGTAAAGGCCTCCAAAAGAAATCAAGGCAAATTATTGTATGTGGATCAAGCTCTAAGAAAGAAATCAAGACGAATTCTTATCTTAGTATCAAACACATGAAGCTTCAAGTTAAAGATTGGAATCTTTGATGTTGTTCTTTATTTTTAATCTTTGAACTTTAGTTCTCTATTCTTCTTTCATGTCTCTAGCATCTTGCAACGACTTGCTTTTTTCTATTTTTAATCATATATATTTTGGTCTTCCAAAAAATCCCACGAATGAATTAAGAAATAAAAAAATATTAAAATATTAAAAAAAAAATAAAACAATAATAATAAAAATGTAAAACAACAAAAGATGGCTTTTGGATGGGACCCACTTTTGATTGAACACGCGTAGGAGGGTGTTGGGTATAATCAACGAAAGGGAAACACCATAACATCTAACTCGCCCCTCTTGTCTACCAACGATGTTGACACGTTCTTTTGCGATTGCATACTATTTTTTCCATAATTTCCATTGAATATAAAACTTTTTTTTAATGTAAAAACAGATATAATAGAACCTTTTATTCAGATTTATTGTTCTTGTTCGTTATAAATGACTTGAATTTTAATCGACAAATTTGGTTCGTTTCTAAATTATATTTAACCATTAACTTAATATATGTAATAATTAAATCATGTATTATTTTTCTTTTAAGTGAATAAATAACATGGTAAAAACATATATTCATTATTTTCTCCTAATTGTTCCCCCTCTCCAAACTCTCTCACACATTTTCACATTTGGTATGTGAGAGAGAGTGAGACTTCTCCAGACACACCCACCTCTAATCAAATGCCTTGCCTCCTCTCTCTTTCTCTCTATTTTCTCTCTCTACATATACATACACACTGGTCTGTATATATAACCCATCATACAACATACCCAAATCCTTTTATATCCCGTGATACTGTTGATTTTAAATCTGCAAAAGAAAAAGAAAAAAATGGAGCTTCATTTGAGCCTTGCTCTTTCTTCATCGTCTTCATCTGCATCTTGTTCTTCAGAGTTTGATCTGATCAACTGCAACAACACTTACGCTCCTGAATCTAAAATCCCAATTCATCATTTGAAGAGGAAACAAGACGATGATGATGATGATCTTCATGTTCTTCAAACGCTACCTCTTCTTGTCTGGAACAATTTCTGCAACAAAACCCAGATGAATGAACAACTCCATGATCATGATGATAATGATGATGATGGTGAAGTTCAGTCGAATTCCATCTTTGTTCATCACAGGTACTTGATATAAACATATATTTTTGTTTAAACTTTTCTTGTCAGTTTAAGTGGTTGGAAATTGCAATCCTCTAATATAATTTACAACCATTTGAATTCGAATCTGGATTTTTTTTTTTTAATTATGAATGCGTATTTCAAATCTTTTAAAGATAAAATAATAAAATAAATTCCATATTGATTTTGCTTATGATCATAGCTGTTATATCTTGATAATAATTTCTTAAAATTCATGGACTGCATATCTTTGTTGATTTATATGGGTACACGTATAATACATGCCAATTAAAATGGATTTATTCCGCCCATATTTAATATGCATGGTTCCTAAGTCCTAACTATAAAATTATTTAATCTTAACATAAAAAAATATATAATCCAGTTCTTCGAAAAGAGTGGTATATTTAAATATTTAATAAATTAACATTACTTTTAAATTTTAATTGTGTTTACTTGTGCTTCACGCTTTCCCTTTAGACTTCACAAACTTTTTAGGCCAAAACTAAGCAAAATATTCGCAATTCTCGCATTCTTGTCTCATTTCTTCTCTTTTAATATTTTAGCATTACATAATAATTGTAATTAACGTGTTCTAAATCCTGTAATAATCAGAGATGATGGTGGTGTGATTGGGTGGCCACCGCTGAAATCATGTAGAAAGAAGTTCTGCCACCCAAAAACCTCTAACCACGGTGGTGGTGGAGGTGGCGGAGGGTCAAAGTCAATGTACGTTAAGGTGCATATGGAAGGCATGGGAATTGCAAGAAAAGTTGACCTAAGTTTACACCATTCATACCAAACCCTTGTGCACACTTTAGCCAACATGTTCGGAAAATGTAAGTTCACATCATGCATTATATTACATGTAATGTACAATCCATCATATGCACACATACGAGGTTATTCAATGTTTCTAGAAGAATATTTTTATTATTAACCTTGATTTTTGACTTTCAAGGTCAAAGTAGATGGATATATACTTTTGACTTTCAAACTAATAGTATATGAAGTTGTTATATTTAATTTCGTAACGAAAAACTAACAACCATATTGAAAATTTTGACTTAAAAAGTCAAAACAAGTGATTAATTTGAGGTTTTGTTTGGAAATATTATAGCTTACGAAGATGTGAAACTCACCTACCAAGACAAAGAAGGAGATTGGTTACTTGCTGGTGATGTTCCTTGGGGGTAATTCCGTAATTTCTATCTAATTTTTATTTTTATTTTCAAAAAGTCCCTACTATATATAATTACTAATTATTATACTGGATTTTTATTTCGACATGCAGATCGTTCATCGAGACAATTCAACGTCTGAAATTGTTGAGGAAACAATAGTTGATTGCTTTATGTGACTCGTAGTTTTGGAACTAGGGTTTTGTTATGAAGGTTAATTAAGTAATAAATTAAAAAAATAATATTGTTATAAATACAATCTTTAAATTAGTTCAATGTATGTGTTTGCATCATGCATGTGGACAAGAACGAAGCTCTCGAAGTTGTTGCACTTAACATTCATAATACTTTATAGTTTTCGACAACATGATGATGAAATTTAGAGAAATGTCAAATTTTTCTAAAAGCCCGCAAAGTATTTCTTGAATTGCATGTGAAAATGTTTTGTTTGAAGTATTAATTATTTGTGGTCTTATTTACAAAACTTTTTATATTATTTGTTTTAGATACGAACAACAACAAAACCTAAATTACATAACATAATGGATATGTACTATACTAGCATTTAATAACTTTTAAATCAATTTAAAACCATGGGCAATGCTATTAGTAATTTTATAATTTAGTACTTCTAAGGTGATTAAATTTCTCAGTTTGTATATTACAACCTATACAATTTAAACTCTTTTTTAGTATTTTATCTGTATTGACTTATTTTTATTGGAATTCCTTCCCTTAAATTAACTTTTAAAGGGTTAGATTAGCATGAATTAGCAGGAACGAATAGTGACAGTGTAAACTAGTTTACTAAAATAAAGATAATTAAAAGGGGATAAATTTATCTTGCAGTTGCAAATGATTAAGGTTACTGTTTTGGGGGAAATTTCATAAAATAACAACAAAAAAAAAGGGTGCGTTTGAAAAATATGAAAAAGGAAATTGAAATTTCACAAAATGACCAAGCTTTCCTAAGGTTTCCTCATAAAGGGTCTTGAGGAAATCTTTTTGGTTCTATGGAAGCCAAACTTCTATGTAGAATTGGACATGTGTGCAAAAAGACAAAAACTGACTTTTGAAGTGACGGTTCTGCAGAGACGGTCTCTACGGAATTGGTACGTCTTTTGCGGAAATGTGTCTCCCTCTGCGAAATTGAAAAAACATTAATTGATCTAAAAATTGAAAAAAACATTCTGGATTTAAAAAAAAAAAAAAAAAAAAAAAAAAAAAAAAAAAAAAAAAAAAAACCTACCACATTTCCGCAAAGGAACTACGGATTCACAGAGCATCCCTCAACGGATTTGTTCTACCCTCTGAACATCTGAGAAATTGATCTTCGCTGAAAAAAAAATTGATGATTTTTTTCATAAAACACTTCAAATTACTCATTTGATAGCCATATGTTAAAACATTGATTCAATTTAACACTTTAAACTAAAAAAAACTACGTCAGAAAACCTTTTTAAACCTAGGGTTCCATAGCCATCTGCTAAAACGTCTTCATTTAGCTGTTGTTGATGTCGGGATCTCCTCACCATTTCGATCTCCTCTCCTCCTCACTGTCGGCCGTTTCCGATTCCGATCGATTGCCCTTCTTTCTTCAGCAGCCAAATAACTCATTTTCCACAGCAAAGGCTTTCCCAATCCGCAATATTTTTTTATATTTTATTTATGTGTTTTTAGGATTTTACCCCGGTGGCGTCAGTTCCTCGGAGCTTATACGCTTCCGTAGAGCCAAAAAGATTTCTTCAAAGACCCTCTCTAAGGAAAGCTTTGTTGTGAAACTTCAATTTTCTTGGTCGTATTTTTCAAACACACCCCATTTTTTGGTTATTTCATAAAATTTCTCTTGTTTTTGCATATCGTTAACACATGGAGAGGGTATTAACTATATCATATGTGTATTTATGTTTTATAAAACTAATAAAAACGTCAACATGGTATTTGTATCATGCATCTATGTGGAATGTGAGGTTGAGAGTTCGATTCCCTTAAACTACATCTTGTGGTGCCACATGTGGAGAATTTTTCCTTGGAAATTCCTATGGGGGTTGGGTTTGCCCTATAAAGGAGTTCGAACCCGGAGTGTTCGCTGAAATATTGTGAATAGGCTTCCACTTAATTCGTTTGATGTTAAAAAAAATTAAAAAAAAAACTAACTATTTTCATAGTATTTAAACAATACTCACTTTTATTACGAACATGTTGGGCAATGAATTTTGATAGCTTTTGGAAATATTAAGTTTTTAGTTTTTTGAAAAAGATAAGAAAAAATAAAGATAAAAGATTTTGGAAATATTAAGTTTTACTTTTATTACGAACATCTCTCTCTCTCTCTCTCTCTCTCATCAAAATGTTTCACCCTATGATACCATTTGAAGAACCCAAACCCCCACCAATGGAGGTGATGACTGAGGAACTCCTCATCTGAATCTGGAATCTGATCTGATTCCCACACTACCATCCTCTATCTATTGTATCTCAAATCACCATTCCTACACCACCGTCGTTGATTTTCTTCACACATCACCATCTACAATCTGTTTCAAATGCCACTTTTATGAAACCCTGACACCGCCACCCTTCTCACAGGTCTCTTTTCTGAATATTGATGTCATCGGAAACCCTAGTGTTCGCCCAATTCAGAGAAAGAAGAGAAGAGAATAACTTATCTATTTCTAATTCGAGTTTATTGATGATTAACAAGGAACTGCTTCTGATTCGAGTTTGTTGTTGTTTGGTTTGTAGGGCTTGACGAAGAACTGTTGGAGTGAAGGTTTGAAATGGACACCATTGTTGAAGCTTTAAAAAGCAGATCTGAAAAACATGAGGTATGTCATTCAAAATTTTGTTTCGAAGAACACGAGGTATGTCGATCATACCTGAGAAGACGAACTGAGAGAGGGGGTGACGACTCCGGTGGTCATTCGATGACAGATCGAGTCGGACCGGTTTCATTATTAAATTCTACATCTGGATCGATTCTACATTTTGGTTCGGTTTCCGAATCTGCATCTAGATCGATTTCCTGGGTTTTCTCATATTGCTTTATGGGTTTTTGTCCATCTTGATCGATTCAAGAATCCAAATAAAATTTTTGCATTATTATCTTTTGATAATTCCAATTTTTAGGGTGTTTTCCATTGAAGTGTTCTTGGGTAATTTTTTAGATTTCAGTTGATTTCGTGTTTGAATGATATTATGTTCAACAATCTTTTGATTGAATCAATGTGTCGAATGAATTTTGTTTTTGATTCAAGATAAGTTTTAATGGAGCATCGATGTTAATTGTGAAAGCATGGACCTATTTTTTAATGGTAATCAATGTTTTTAATCTGATTTTCGAAATTGTTTTGGTGATGAACGAAGATGAAGGATCGAAACTGAATGAAGGCGATAATATGATTGTCAAATGATTAGAGAAATTGATGGTTCATTGTTGTTTCTTTGAAGAAGATGCCTTGAGATTTTGAAGCTTGTACTGATTTCGATGATGGTGTAATAAAATTAAAAGAAAATATTTGGCCCAATTCAAAAATAAAATAAAATGTGTTCATGGTTTGAGTTGTTGCAGGTGAAGGATGGGAAGAAAACGATGGAGTAGGTGGTTTTTTACCTTATGTTTTGAGAGATTGAGAGAGAGAGAGAGAGAGAGAGAGAGAGAGAGAGTTTCTTTTTTATTTTTCTTTTAATCAAAAAAAAAATTAATAAGTAAAAAAAATAGAAAAATAAAATACCAAGGGTAAATCCGTCATTTTGAATATTTTTAAATCAAATTGGACCGAAATCGTAATAAAATGAAAACTTTGGACCAATGATGCTAGTCAAAACATTTTTGAACCAAAGTGACAATTTTAAGCAAAACCACCAGGACCATTTGTACAGTTTAATCTTAACAAAACTCTAAAATATCTTTACAAAATTAACTCTCCATGTTTCCTTGTTTATTTATTTATATTTGGTTTTTTCTCTTGTTAGATTTCATTTCACTCTTTGATGTTTAGGCTTTTTTTTTCTTTTTTACGATTATTATTTTGTATATTCAGGTTTTAGAAAAACATAAGCTTGTGTCCACTATAGGTTTTGCTTCATTTTCAGTTTTTTTGTAATACAAAAAAAAATAAAAAATAAAAATAAAACGTTGTGAAAAATGAAACGACATGGTAGTTTATTGGTAATTGTATATACTATTTTTGCTAAAAACTTGGTGAATAGGAACCTTTGCCAATTATCATTTCTGCCACATTTTTTCCTTCATTTGCTACTTTGGCCACACCGGTTCCACTCAAGTTTTCCTTTTCATAAAAGCGCCCCATTTTTCCTTTCTATCTTATCCTATGACCATTGGAAAAGCATTCGATGACCCGTACCGCCTTCTTTAACCAATCAGACGGCCACCGCCTTTCACCTACGTCCTTTTTTTCAACAAAAAAACATCGATGTTACATTCAAAGAATCTTCTATATCCTTCCCCTAACCCTTAATCTCCCATCACCGCGCCAAAGCTTGTGACGCCGACGATTCAACATCATCGCCACCACCAGTCTCAGCCACCGCCTTCCTCCGACGTTCCCTCTCAGATGTAGAAAAGAGTCTCCTTTGTGGAGAACCGACAGAGCGAAGATGGTTTTCTAATTCAAACCTCGACCAGAAGACGGAGTTGATCGATGAGATCGAAGAGGGAGATATTGAGAGGCTTCCTGGTTGCTTCTATTCCGACCTCGAACATACTCTCGCTCCCTCTGTACCCCTAAATCTAGACATCAGCCACCAGTTCTCACAAACCCAACAATTTGGTTTCAAGAAGAGTCTAACATAAATGATTGGTTATGTTCTTCAATTTTGGTTAAATAATTGCAGATTTCACTTCTCTTTTTTAATTCCCCCAATTTCACCTCACTTTATCTGTATTTTATCTTTGCTTAATTTCGCTTTTTAGTAAATTACTTTTTCCAATTTCAGAAAAATCAACCTACGATGGGCTTTATGCGAAATTAAGAAGATTTGAGGGGTTACAGAAGGTAAAAGGTTGATGCTTCAGCATGTCTCGATTTCCAGAAAAATGATAGGGGGAGGTGAGGTGAGGGGAGAGAAAGCTCATACCTTCCCTAATTCCCATGATCGATTTCTGCCCCAATTTCTTTTATGAAGGTGTGGGTTTTCTTACTCTTTATAGGATATTTTAAATTTCGGTTAATTTGGATTCAACTTGATGCTAATGAAATCAATCATTTGTTGTTTTGAATTGATTTATTTCTTCTTCCTTTCCACCTCTTGCTTTGACTTTTCCCTTTCTAATGCCTCATGCTTAGTCGAGGTGATTTTCTTTTACACCAACAATCAATTTCTTTTTTGCTTACTCTACTTCATCCCTAAATTTTTTGTTATATTTGTGTTTTTAGGTGTACCAAAGCTGTGAATTTGAAGAATTATTCAACAGAAGAAAAGACTCTCAGTTTGAAGGTGTGCAATGTTCCAAAATTATCAAAACCATCGACAAAAACGTATCCTGTATGAAAGTTGGGGGTAGGTGAATTAGGACTCAATCAATTGTATTTGTGACTGCTGAATATTAAAATTGTTCTTATGTGTGTATGTGTATGTTTCTGTGATTAGCTATGTGTTTGTTTACAGCTCAGCAAAAAGGAGGACAGTGAAAAAGGGGACCGGAAAGATGAGTTTTTTGAAGTCTCAAAGAGAGGTCCTGTATTATCATATGGGTATAAATTAAAGCAAATTGTTTCTGTTGTTGGTTTTTTTTTCCTGTGAATTGATTCTGCCTTTGTTTGTTCACAAAATTTGATTGTGGGGTTGTTTTGCAGTTTATGGAATTTACAGACTTGGGTGATTTAAGCACACATGTCAGTCAGTATACTCTCCCTAATTTTGTTTTTTCCCTTTAGTTTGGTGCCTTTATTTATGTAAAGCATGCTGATGGATCCTTGAAACCTCCACTTGCCAAATACGTGGATACTGGAATGGGAGTTGAAAGATTGGTTTCGATTCTTCAGAACAAGCAGCTGGGTAATTATGACACTGACGTCTTTCTAATTCTACCTATTTTAATGTTATCCAGAAGATAATATAAAAACTGCAAGAACACATACAAATACACTCTTTTACATATGTTAGTTACAAATTGCAATATACATTATCTGACTTCTATTGGTAAATTAGGGCATGTTTACCTGCTTCTGAAATTGTAATTTGTTGGAGCAAACTTAGAACATAAAAGACTTACTTTTGCAAAAAAAAAAAAAAAAAAAATTAAGTCTTCTTTTAATAAAAAAATCTAATCCACTCGCTCATTGTCTATAATTTCCATCTTTCAGAAATTAAAATCATTTTGTGATTCCGATCCAAGCACGAATGATGCAGGCTGTAGGCTAAACCTGACAGACTACAAAAAAAAAAGTCTGTTAGTATACAATTCAGAATGGGTGCTGCTGAATATCACATAATGCTGGGAACTGATCATCGGATTGCAACAAATCCATTGTCTATGAGGATGAGAGAAGATCAAATTAAGCAAAGTAAGTTTTCCAATTATTAAGTTAATGCATAAATCATAATTAGACTTTTTACAAATTTGCCCTTGGTTTTGTAGTATGGGGTGGAGATTCGGTTTATCCCACAGTAAACTACATTGATGATCCACATCAAGTGATTGATAACAGGGGTCCTTTTAGTAAATTTAACCTTTTTTTTTAAATAAATTCTTTTATATATAAATTTTCATTGATTAAGCTAACATTTACTTTTCTATTATTGATCAGAATGGAAATATAACATCAAAGGATGAAATTGATAAAACATTGGCATCAGAGAAGGTTGAAAAAGTAAAGGTAATAAATAAGCCTCCTTTATTGTTTTTTGTTTTCTTCAATGTATTATTTTCAATTACTCATTTCACTGTTTTCATTTTGTAAACAGTTAAATCAGCAGTTTGTGATGATGAAGGTAATCTGTTCACATTGATGAAAATGAGGTAATATATTTCGTTATGACTGTTATTATTATTATAATTATAATAAAAAAATAATAATAATAATAACTATTTTTCCTTTAATAGGATAGTGATGAGGAGGGAAAATTTTTGAATGTCGAAAAGTGCTCTTGACCTTTGCAAATCAAAGGTAATCTTTTTAATCTGTATTCTCTCATTTTACCCATTTGAACCATAATTGACCCATTTTTTGTAAATAGGTCAGAATTTGTCAAGGAAAGGCAAGATGACATTGGAGGAAGCTATTGCCGATTCTCAAAAGTTGACTGATTTCATGTTAGACTTCGATCAAGATAAGGATCTTGGAACGTAATTTTACAAGGTACATTATCTATTTCACATTGATTATAAAAAAAATATAAAAAAATTGAATATTCATATGCTATGAAACATCAAGATTGTGAGCATTAAATATGATTGTAAATTAGATAATTTGTTGATTCTCTTGGATATAGCGTGGATACTTGATAAATAGAACATGAATCTATGGAAGATGATTTTGAGTTAGCTGAAGGACTGGCTGTTGGTTGTATCCTTTTTTTGTTTTTATCTTATTTAATGGCCTTTTTTTCTTAAACAGTAAATTAATTTTCGGACCAAAGACCCCTTCATTTATTATTTCTGTTTCTTGCAGGGGCCAAAGAAACAAGAAAGAGAAGTTGGAGGGGTAAAAATACAGCTAATATAAACCATTTGTTGCTAATGTAGTTGCTGCTATGTAACTGATATGAACATCCCACGTAGTAGGCTGGACCAACATCCAAACCTGAAAGAAGAAAAAATAAAATGAGTCAGCGCCAACGGGCGCGCATGATTCTCATCTAGTTGTTATGGTTTGACAATCAAATTTTTATTATTGTATTTCAATTTTAGCTCTTATACAAAGAATTTAGGTAATATATATATATATATATATATATATATATATATATATATATTATATATATATATATATATATATATATAGCGGTGAGATCCGTTGAGAACTCATACTTTCACGAGAACCCGAAAACTAAAGAAGGAGCGTTAGATCAAAGTAAACTCATTAACAGCTTGATCGTCATCTTAACAATCTCATTTAATGTTCAACTTTTTTGTTTTATTGGAAATATTAATAAAAAAAAGTCTTAAAACAAACATAATAAATCAAAATTTCATACTATATTTTTTTTAAATAAAAATTTTCGACTTTAAAAAAAATGCAGATTTTTTAATTTTTTTTTGGAAAACTTTATTTTTTTTTAAATTGAAAAAATATATATATTTTTTTTTAAATACTACAATTTTTTTAAAACAGTAAATTTTGAAGAACCAATAAAATTAAAAAAACTAGAATATTTAAAAAAAAACTATATTTTTGATAACAAAAAAAATCAACTTTTTAAGTTCATATATGCATATTTTTCAAATAAATGTATGCATCTTTCTTATAGTATAATATTCGTAAGTAATCATATAAAAAAATCCAGTTTTATTTAATAATCTATAAACATAATAGTACAAGTATTTTATTCGATACAAAATAAAATATAAAAAAATAAAAAAATACTACAAAATTTCAAAGCGTTTTCATGTCTTTTTGTCAAGTTTTCCATATTTCTTTAATTTATCATTTTTCACATGTTCAATATTTTCCATAAATTCTTCCAAATCTACAAGAAAATTTAAAAAAAAAATTGATTAATGCAAGAAACTCACAAAAATACATGTGTGCATATAGACGTAATTCATATGTGATTCACTTGTGATTTATATGTGAATCACATCTAATTCATATGGGATTTTACTTGTGAGTTACATGTGATTCATATGTGAATTACATGTGAACTTGTAACATCCCAAAAAATCAAGACCAAAAATTTCATTTTTGATATAACAACTCATAAAACAATTTTAAGAAAACATCATCAAGTTATTTCATTTCATCAAAGCCAAATATCATATGTCTCAAAAGCATGTCATAGTGTAGTAACAATGTCAGAGTACAATCCCAAGAACATCATAGTGCAGAAAATAGTGGTGTGATGCGCTGCTACCGTGCCGACTCCTTTCCCTTCGAAGAAGGACCTGAAACAAAAACTGTAAACCGTAAGCACAAAGCTTAGTGAGTTCCCCCATCATAGCACATACCATAAACATATAATGCCTATCCATCGGTATCTTTCAACCGGTATCTGACTGGCATAACCGGAAGCTGGACTCCCCTTCGGTATCTTTCAACCGGTAACCAGGAGCTGACCTCCCATTCGGTATCTTTCAACCGGTAACCAGGAGCTGACCTCCCCTTCGGTATCTTACAACCGGTAATTGAGGATTATTTCACCCCAACCATTACTACATAATAACATAACATGAACATACTGCTAGGCATGCATGGGTACTGTCTACCCCTTAGGTATCTTTCAACCGGTAACCGGGGACTATTTCACCCCTACTACTACTAGCACATATATCATAGCATCTTAGCACATAAAGTGTAACAGATAGTGGCATACCAGACAATTATCACAAAGACAATCATCTAACAAACAACTCCTACTAGTGGGTCGACATTGTGGCCTTAAACACACTTCTACTGGAAGGTAACTCACCTCGTAAAGCTGAGTGTCGAATATCACAGAAAGTAAGATCTAACAGTTGCTCCGATGACTCCCCGAGCTATCATTACCAAATAACACTTAGTTAAAATCCAAACCATCATTCTTCGGATAAAATGACCATTTTACCCCTAATCTAAATGGACCCATGACCTAAGCCCCAAATTCATAACATGAAGGCCCAAACCCATATATTCTCACCAAGCCCACTAATGGCCCACTTATGGCCCAATTTTCTAAATTTGGCCCAATTTCTCAAATGGGCCTTCCATCAAGTCCATTATGCAATAAAATCCATTATCAGCCCAAAATAATAATCCAATAAGGCCCATATCAACTAGTCCAAGGAAATGGCCCAAAAAGGCCCACTGTCGCAACGAACGCATGGTGTTCCCTTGTAGAACGCTTGACATTCCTCCATGGTTCAGATCGAGAGCTCCAGTGGGAATGCAGCGCGTTCCCAAGACCTATGCAGGGCGTTCGCGTCCAGCTTTCAAAAACGGGCCATTAAGCACTTAATGCTTAAGCCATGCTATCCAATCACAGATCCAGACTATCTAGGACCTCTAGAATCATAAAGTCACGGACTTGGTGACTTCACATGCCCTCTTAAGTCCAAATCTCAAGGAATAGCAACCAACTTCCATAAATGGGGTCCTAACTCTTGCATGAACCCATTAAGACCTCAAAGATCGAAACTGTGAATTTTCTGTTTAAATTGTGAATTGACTGCATTTTGTTGTGAATTTTTTATAATTTTTTGTTAAAATATGAATGATTTATGTATAAATTTTTGTGTTAATTTTCTAGTGAATATATTTATTTGTTGTGATGTATAAATTTGTAAGAATCTACTAGTTTTTACAATTATTTTGCATTAAATTCAAAACAAATGAATTAATAGGTTTTATTACAGTGTGAATGTAGTATTTAAGTTGTTAATGCATGACATTATTACAGAACTGATTTGGAAGAAATGATGGTTACGATACAGATAAAAGTGGTTGGTGGAACCTTGTGGTGGTAGACAATGCAATTATGTGAAAATGACAAAGAAAATATGTTGTTTGATAATGTGAATACTTTCAATCTTACATAATTATTGTCTTTATTATGCATTCTCACTAATTAAATCGTTTATAAGGTTATTATAGATTTTTTTATTATTCTCATTTTGTCAGAATGTTGTCACAATATTTATTGATTCGTATTTTGTAAGAATAAAAATGAGTGAAAACCGATGCGTGAGAACAAAAATGAATAAAAATTATTAAGAATGCATGAAAATGACAATAGTCGTGTGAGGTTGAACGTATTCACATTACTAAATAACCTATTATCTTAGTAATTTTCATAAAATAACATTGTCCACACGTCCGCACAATAATTGTCAATCCACATTATAACCTAGCCCTATATATATATATATATATATATATATATATATATATATATAAGATATATATATATATATATATAGAGTCAAGATCAAATAAGAAGGAAATTTTTGGTAGGAAGGTAAGAAGTTTTTTTTCTACATATTTTTCGCGAACAAACAAATGAATCATTAGATGATTCATTTGTAAGATGATTCACAAGAAAAATTGTCAAAAAAAACATCTTGATGATTCATTTATACAATGATTTTGTTGTTATTCACTAAAATTGTCATAAAAATGAATTTTTTCTTAATTTACTTAAAAATGAATCATAAAGATGTTTTTTTGGGAATTTTTTCTTGTGAATCATCTTACAAATGAATCATCTAGTGATTCATTTATTTTGTCGTCAAAAAAATATGTAAGAAAAAAAACTTCTTACCATCCGACCAAAAAAATTTCTTACTTATATGAGATATATATATCTATATATATCTATATATAGATATATATATATATATATATATATATATATATATATATATATATATATATATATTGGTATAAGGAAGGAATATCATTACAACCTCATCTAAGCTTAGGTACTAAACCTCTAAAATATGTCGTTTTAACTTAGTAATTATACTTGATTTTCTTTTCACTTGTTAAATGTATCGTCCTCAATAACATTTCTTCCCTCAATTATCGTTTTACTATCATTGTTTTCCTTCCTCCATTATCGTTTATTACTTCACCTTAATTAACAATATTGTCTTTCTTCGTCACGAAGGTCGAACATAATCAATGTTCTTGCTTCCTTATCAACTATGTGTACATCATGAGTCTACATTTTCAAGTGTTAATCGTGAATCCTCTAATCGCAATCTTTATATAGTAAAACAACATATTTTCATGAGGTTTAGTACCTAACCTTAGGTGGGGCAGTAATGTATATTCACTTTTCCATATATATATATATATAGATATATATATATATATTAATATATATATATATATATATATATATATATGGAAAAGTTAAATAGAGAACCATTATTAATCAAGAAACCAAGGAATCAATCCAAAGCGTCGAAATTTAAAGCGATCAACGGCAAAATGAATGATTGTAGACTTTTACAATGAACGGACATGCACCGGATTATAAAAAAACTCACTTTCTTTTTTTCGTTTAAAATTTTTTTTAGGCCACGTTTTTTATCGAAAAAAAATCGAGTATACCGTTGTTCACGATTTTTCGTCCTCTTTCCAAAGAGATCCATGATGATATATAAAAAACGAAGTTTTTTTTTTCGAAAAAACCCACTTATTTTCTTTGTTCAAAAGTTAAGGCCCATTTTTTTATAGAAAAAAAAATTAATAAATATATCAAAATTCATGCTTTATTGTACTTTTTAAACATACATTCATATTCATGTAAAAAAAAGATATTTCAGTTCAGATTCACATTGTGAACCTGTTCAGATTCATATTCTGAACTTGTTCAGATTTACATTGTGAATATTTTCAGATTCATAGTGTGCATAATAGTAAGTCAGATTCACAATGTGAATCTGAACTGATCGAGCTTTTTCACATTGTGAATGTTAAAAATTGAAATATTTACAGTTTAGATTCACAGTGTGAATCTACACTGATCGAAGTTTTTTTTGTGAACATTTTCATATTCATAGTGTGCATAATAGCAAGTTAGATTCACAATGTGAATCTGAACTGATCGAGCTTTTTCATATTATGAATGTTAAAAATTGAAATATTTACACTTTAGATTCACAGTGTGAATCTACACTAATCGAGGTTT